CTCAGGTATGTCTTTATCAGCAGCATGAAAATGGAGTAACACAATATCCAAGAAGTCCTTCTCTAACACACATGCAGAACTGACAAAAGAAAACCAAGTCCAAAGTCAACAGGGGGCCTCAGTCACCTCCCAAGAATCTGCACTGCCCAGACGGTGTCCTGAGACCACAGACAGAGTGTCAAAAACAGCGCTCACATGCCTGGAAACTGAGGTAGGTATGATGTATTACACACACACAGGTCCACGCACAGACACGCTCTCACTGAACATGGGTGTGCTCACTGCAGTGCGTGCAGGCCTTCTGTTTGTGCAGGCTGAGAACACACACACACTCATACTTACACATTCTCACTGAACACACATGTGCCAACTGAAGAACATTCGGACTTTCTGTATATGCAGGCTTACTGAGAACACACGCACACACACACACACACACATGCACACACATGTACTTACAAGCATGCTGTCACTGAACATACATGTGCTCACAGCAAGCTTTCCGAGGACACCCACGGTGCCTCCACTTACCAAGCTGCACAGCCAGGAATATTCTGTTTGGAGAGAAGAGCTGGGAGGAGGATGAGGTGGCGTGAGAACCTGGGGTACTGCAAGGCTGTCTAGGGCAGGAGCTTCCCAGGAAAGCTGAGGACAAAGGGCCCTGCTCAGGCCCATGACAAGCATCCCGTAAACCGAGGAGGTGACCCACCCAACCCCGTCCCTGAGTTGCAGAGGAGGGAAAAAAGCTGCCTCTCTGAAAGGGCTCACAGAATTCGGAAGTCTGAAGCCACCTCTGACTTGAGCCACTGGTGCTCTGGGCAGAGTCAGCCTGACACTACACAGAAACGCCGCATCCCATCTCAATGTCTGCAGGGCTCGCCAGCCTGTGGCTGTGGGCCAAGTCCAGGCCCTGCCTGTTTTCATGATAGAGTGTGACTGGCACACAGTCACACCCATCATCTATGCCTGGAGACAAGGCCTCGTGTGGCCACCGAAGCCAAAGAGACTATGCCCTGGCCCTTCACAGAAGGTGGCTACCCTGCACAGGAACTCCCCTAAGCCATGCACTGCTGCATGCCTATGGGGCTGCTCCCATTTCCTGGGCTCCCAGGGGCTGAAAATGGAGGGCATCAGACAGAGTCACGCAGGGCGGGTGACGGGGCCAGACCTCCAGCCCCTGGAGACGTGCACCTAGGCAACACTGGGCAGCCCCTGCTCTGCCCCAGTGCCTGCCGCCACATCCCATGTTCTGCTCCCAAAACCTGCCCAGTGCCCCCTCCGTATTCCGGCAATGCACATGACACAGATACAGGCTGCCAGTACACATGTGCACACGTATGCACACCCACATGCATATGTGCACACACCCGCACACACACATGCACGTAAACAGTGAGGGAGGCAAGACTGATAAGTGAACAATATGACATTAAGATACAATCACAGCCAAAAGATCAATATGAGAATTCCTAAGAGTTACAAGAATGAAATATATTTTTCATCGATTTGTTGTTTTAAACCATTAAAAAGATGGGTAAGCGTGTTAAAGCAGGGTAAATACTCAGGGCACTAAAAACACTCCCACTCACACATCGCGTAGAAAATCAATCTCACTGACATACTTTCAAAGTAAAACCCCAAAAAGCAGACAGCATTCCTCAGGCACCGAGAGCACACATTTGCGGGAAGAAGAATGACTCCTGGAAAACTGGAGGCCGCACGTCACCGCTGAGCCTGGCGCCTGCCCTGCCCGCACGGCGGCTAACTTGAGTCCAGTATCTCGGCTCAAATTCACTCTCGCGGCCGCTTTTAGAAAGAATCATAAAAATGTCCAAATCCCCTTTTTTGTTTAAATTGACCAGGTGGCACCTATTTGCCTGAAGCACTAAAGCAGACAGTGGAGGGAAATCGATGGCAGGAAATGGAGAGGCAGGGGGCCCTGCGCCCAAGCAGGCTGCCCAGCGCTGACATTATTGATTTTACCTAGTTCAGCTGGCCTTGTAATTAAAATGTAAATTTGAGAGAGAGATTATGTCCTGACAGAAATGGTAGGATTAAGGGGAAGATAAAAGCCCCTCAGTGAAAATTCAGAGAAAGAAATGAGAAAGAAAAAGAGCATGGGTTTCCTCCGTGGTGTGGATTTAGACTAAATCTGACTACTTCAGATTCACCCACATTTAATTGAAAAAACAGCGACAGAATATAAACTAGTGTTATGAACTGAGCTGGCCCCTCTGCCTGCCCCCAGCCTCTGGCACTCCTTGGGCCCCCAGGTGTGAAGCTGAGGGGGGCTGGGCGTGCCCGCTGTGCACCACAGAAGGCAGCTCTGTCGCCAGGGCCTGCCCCTCCTTTGGACCCTCCAGCCCATGCCTGGGGCTGGCATAGCCAGAGCCGCACGCTCACACCCAGGCTACCCCCAGCAGTGCTGGCTGGGGTACCAGCCCAGGCCCACAGGGGCCATCGGCATGGTACCTTCAAGGCTGAGGGAAGAATGTGGTCAGCCTTCCCACATCAAGAAGTGAATCAGCGGCAATAAAACTACCAGGGCCTCTTCCTGTCTTGGTTGAGGCTGTGACAGGGCCTCCAGCTTCAAAGGCACCCTCATCTCCACCAGGGCACACGTGGCCTGAGAGGAAGGGGGCAGCCGCAATGCTGCAGAGGAGCTTGGAGTCAGCAGAGGAGGGTGCTGGGAGACCTGCAGCTGCACAATGAGAATCAGAGGCCAGTGCACCAGCTGTGCACACTTCGCTGGATCAGGACTGTCCTAGCAGGGGCAGCTCATCTCTGCTCTGCTGAACCTGGGGCCTGAGCTGGAGACACATCTGTCCCAACCAGGGTCAGGCTGGACAGCCCACAGGTAAGGCTTGGCTGGAACTGCCACACCCAGTGCCTACCTGTGACCCCGTGAGGCTCGCGGTACCCACAGCAGGGCTGTGTCAGAGCAGGTGTCCCAGCAAACCTGGCAGGGGCTATGGCCCCCTTGGCTGGACGCTGTTGTCAATGGGCTCAGGACCCCCGGGATCCAGTGGGGAGGGACGGCCAGGCCTGGTGACAAGTGAGCACTGTCATCGTGTTTGGCCACAGGCTAAAGGGGGCCTCAGCTCTTCTGATGAAAGGAGATTGCTCTGTTCTTTGGAGTGTCACCACATTTGCATTTGCTTCTGGCCTTGCTTCAGATCATTTAGAGCCACAAGTCAGGTTTCGGGGAAAGTAGATTTCTACCAATCTGTCCCAGATGTGTGACTTCTGCTGAAAGGGCTCCCAAGCCATTGTAACAGGCCTATGCAGAGGCCCAGGGCCACGAAATGCCAGGGACACTACAGGCCAAGAGTCAGTGCCAGCTCCCAGACACTGAAGATGCCCAGGAGCAGTCCGGGAGATGAGGCACCCAGCAGGCCAGGTCAGGGCAGACCTGCACCTATTAGACGGCTACCTGGGCCCCGGCTGCAGCACCTCCAGGAGGAGACACCACTGTGCTTTCACAGCACTCCCAGGCTGGGCCCAAGCCTGGGCCACCTGAGGGTGGCAGAGAGCCAGGAAGGAGATTGCGGCACACAACCACATGCTTAGGCATCCCCAGGTGCCTCCTGTCAGGCGTGGGGACCCCTACCGGAGGTAAGAAGTCAGCAGAAAGACCATTTCAGGTGGAGGCTGGTGTTGGCAGAAGGGAGTGTATGCGGTGGCGGCAGGGCAGGCTGAGTGAGGGCACAGCTGGGGCTGCAGCTCGGTGGGGGGAAAGAGTCTGAAGCTGTGAGGTCGGTGGCCAGGAGAGGCATGCAGTTCCTCTACCTGCCTGGCTGGAACCCCTGGAGAGGCAGCATGGGACCACGGTCCAGAATGCGCCAGGCCACGTGGTACCCAGGGAAAGGTCCTGGCCGGGCTCAGGTGTCTGAGGCCTTCTTCCAGACCCTCAAGCTCACACTGACCCCAGGAGCTCAGCCTTCCCAGCCAGCAGGCCCCAGTAAACAGGACCATACAAATGGAAGGTCATTAGAAGCCTGGTTGTGCTAATTTGGCATGACACTCTTAATGGGTCATATCTTCACACATGAGTTGTCTCATCATCTAAATTCTCTTAACAAATTTACATCTCTTCTTATAGACTCTGATTCAAACCAACTTGTCTATTTCATACAAAAGCTAAGGGTCTTGTTTTCATTTGCTTCCATTCAAAGCAAACTCTACTGTGCGGCCTCTCGGGGAACTTCAAGAGCAGACCCACCTGGGTCCCACCCTCCCCGGAGGGCCACAATCCTGGGTATGGAATGGAACGTGGCTCTGGGAGGTATCTTTGAAAAACCTCCACCCTTGATGGTACAGGCAGTGGCAGCTGCACCCTGCGCCCTCCAAGTGCTCCCTGAGAAGCGCCTTGTGGAGCGCACAGCAGCCCTGGGCCCAGATCCGAGTTTGTGGCATCACCAATGTTGAGGACACCTGTGCTTGTGACCCCCCTAAGCAGGGAGGGGAGCCTGGAGGGCACAGGGTGGCAGCCCCTCCCACCTGCCAGCCACGGCTCCTGTAACTGCAGGAATCACACCCCACAAACCTCAAGTCCAAGGACTCCACCCTTTCTGTTCCTAAGCAGGGCTGCTGATGGCACAGGGGTAGGGGTCAGGACCTGCCCTTTGTGTCCTCAGGGCAGGCATGTGTGCTGGGGCCTCCCCACACAGGAACCAACGGTAGGATGGTGGCCGATGCCCCAGACCTGGGCACCTGAGTGCCTGCCTGGCAAAGGATGACCAGCAGGACCAGAGGAGAGGGAGCCCACCTCGGGGCAGGCTGCAGGGAGGGCCCCAGGCCTGAGACAGAGCCAGAGCACCGAAGGAAAGGCCTGCACGTAACTTCTCAGCCTCGTGGCTATGAATACATGCAGGAAAAGCACCATTTCAAACCAAAGCAGCAGTGACACAAGACCTGCCCCTGAGGGCCTGGCCGCAAGGACTCACACCCTGAGTGGGGGACCCTCCACCCAGGCACCCCCAATGGGGCCCACTGCTCACCATACTCAGGCCGCAGGTGGTCAGGGATGTGGGGCTCATACCCCTCCTTCTCAGGCACCTCCACAAAGTCCTCATCGTCCTCGTCTTCCTCCCCATCCCCCAGGGATTCAGTCTGTGGAAAAACGCCCCAGTACAAATCAACCCCCAGACCCTGTGTATGAACACAGCTCTCAGAAGGCAGGGCCCTGGAGAGTCCCATTCGCTGTGGAGCTTTTTCTCCGGGTTAGGACTCCAGCATCAGCCACAGTTGGACTGCATTTAAGGTCGTCTCCAAGGCTGTTCTTGTTCCCCCAAATTATACCACCTCTGCACTGCCCTGTACTGGGGGCTGTTTAGAGTCTATGTTGAAACCACCAACCATAACCCACCCTGGCTCACTCCCCAGGTCGCTGTGGGAGCTGCTGTCCTTGAATGGACCCTGGCCTATGGGACTCATCCTCCCACCGGGTGGAGCAGGTGCATTTGCTCTGAGGCAACAGGCCAGGGCAGCTCCCCACACAGGGTTCTCCCGTGGTGCTGGTGTGACCACAGCATGTCAGACAACAGGAAGGGACAGGTACTTCTGGAACATTCTGTCCTTGAGAATTTGTCATAAAAACCACCTCTATTTCCTTTTAACAAGGTCACTTCTCTGCCAGGGTTGCTGAGGGGGGATCCCTCACTGAGTCTGAGAGCCCTCGTGTCACCCCCGCCTCCCTCCTCCCATTGAGGAGCTAGAGAACGGAAGGAAGCCTTGCTTTCTTTTTCCCCTGAGAAACCAGTTCCTTGAGCGCACTCTGCCCCTTCTTCCACCCAACTCGGTGGTCAGAGGCAGGGACCTGTGTAGTGATGCATCTCATCAAGCCAGAGGGAGACAGTGGCCCCTCCACACAGTAGGGCTGTGGCACAAGAGACCATGGCCGCAGCTGTAACGGACCCCCTCTGTTGGTAGCAGAATGCCAAGCTGCCTTGTGGCCATAACAGGGCCAAGACAAATCAGGGAGGCGCTGCCAACCTACTGCCTGCCCTGTGATAACCTTTTTCTATTCCCAAAAGCTGGTACTGTAGTGTTGGCTTCTGTGTGCACTGGGCAGCGAGCCCACTGCTCAGTAACACGGCCACACAGCGGGCACTGCCTGCTCTGCCCACGTGCTCCAAAGTGGCCGTGCGCAGGCTCTTTTCCGCCTCACCTTCTCACTGGCCCCACCACAGCCCAAGACGGGGTGTGGGAGCTGGCAAGCAAACCCCAGGCCATACCATCCTTCCCAGAGAGCCCCGCCTACGGCTCACCCACCATAAACACCCCCTCCATGGGGGCTGGCTCCCAGAGCCAGGCCTCCCAGGAACAGTTTATAAAGTGGAAACTTTATTGCACAGCAGGCGGCAGGTTGGCAGGCACCTCCCCAATTTGTCTTGGCCGTTCAGGCCACAAGGCAGCTTGGCGTTCTGCTACCAACAGAGGGGGTGCTGTGTGGGCTCAGCACAGCAGGGTGGTCCTTCCTCGCCTTCAGCTCCCTCATGCCAGGAGACAAGCTAGCAGGGCTACTAGGAGCAGCTGAAGGTCATGCCCCCAGTGTGGCCAGGGTAGAGATGTCCCCAGGTGGAGGTGCCCCGGGTGGAGGTGTCCCTGGGTGGTGGGGTGGAGGTGCCCCGGGTGGAGGTGTCCCTGGGTGGTGGGGTGGAGGTGCCCCGGG